TTCTGTGCTGCACTAACACATTATTCCGACGAATACCAAAATGTCATGTTTCTTGTACTTTTTGTTGCATTTAACGAGGTTTGTATTCCATTCTTCCATATACTATATCTTCTACTTAGTACTATTTTTATCTTCTGATTGTGTCACTGCACATGTTCGATGAAGCATTTTCTTATCCTGTACACTCCTGCATAGGTATAATGATGAGAAATGTTTAAATAAATGTGCCAGAGCTACGCATCTCCAGCACCATTCATTAGTCAAAGTGCAAGGCTCTGTGTGTGCGAGGATGTGTGGGCGTGTAGGAGCAAAGAAGTAGTCATACTCCACAACTCAGAAAAGTTTTGACCACTTATTTTTTTCTAGCTCAAATTTATCTCTTTAAATTCTGCAGCAACTCCACTCAAGTCTGATCATCATCATGCACTATATGTGAAAAATAAGATGAAGCCTAAACTGAAAATATGTACGCATAGACACTATTATAATTACTAGTGGTTGGAAGTGCACAGGCAATAGAATGAAGCATTGTCAGGGTGAAAAGGGAATATTTGTAGATTTTAATGAGCATTTACTCAGGAAGGACAAGCAGCTCTAAATGAATATCTTCTCGTTTCAAACCACAGCAAATGAACTCACCCTGTGTAGGAAGAAGAGGCGCTATGGCAATGAATAGCCTTCCTATTTGTAGTTAGATAGGCATCTATAAGCCACGCTGCTTAATTGGCTGCACTTGGATTTTATGGACCACCATAACAAAAGGAGAAAAGAAATGGAGCCTGAGGTAAGAGGAATAAGTACAGGTAGGATGGAGGGTATATTTATCACACTCCCAAAGTGCACTGAAGTGGATAAGCCTAGATGAGTAGTGGAAGAGTGTGAGACATGTCCAGAAGAATGGCCAGATGTTTGAGAAGAACCTTCCCCCCAAGAGATGAGAGGGGACAAGAGAACGAGAGCGTGACTGTAGTGTGACAGATGTTTCAAAATCGAACCACTCTATGGGGAAGGATGTCTAAGCAGAGTCAAAGAAAGCAAAGCAAAGTGCATTTAGAAGAAGGGAAAAAGAAATCCCAGAAAGGTGAACATCAATTTAACACGCTGACGACAACTGTACCCTGTCTAGGTGAAACCTGACAATGATCCAGAGGGAATTATACATCCAGAGAGTTTGATAGTGATGAGAGAGTGTCTCGAGAAAGAAAGAATAAATTTTGCCTCAGATATGCCTGAGATATTAAGTGTTCTTGACTGTTTACATGTGGCTGAGATGGAAAATAATATGTATATATGCAGGGTTCTTGCAGTCCTTAGGCCACGCCCACATTTTTTAAAAAATGCAGATTTTACCCCTCTGTTTTAAAAAAGAATTCTTGTCGATGACAGTGAGGTGGAACTACTGTTTAAGGTTATACTTGAATACAAAATGTTCGCCCAGGTCTTGTCCAAAATCTTATTTTGCAGTACGAATTCAGGAGCAGTACAGCCTGTACCAGATTCTTGCACTTCCACACAAGGGGGTAAAAATAAAACAAAGCAAAATTAATTTGCAAACACAAAACTTAACAAGATTCTTATCAAATAAGAAATTACAACCCACAAAGTCACGACCTGGTCAGTAGCTATATTCATAATACACGCAAAACCGCAATGGGCTCAATCAGGTGAGTCCACCGTTTTCAAAACATGCGTTTTTTTCCTACACCTTTGAGGGCATTTTGAAAAGCTTTGTTTTTAGTGACCCAAAATGCTGTTTATGTCTGGACAGGAGGTCAAAACACAGAGAAAAAAAAAACGTTTTCAAAAATATCTGTATACGTCTGGATGGGGCTATTTGTCATATACACACACATATGCCATCACAGAGCGAGTAAACATGCAACTACAAATCAATCCTCATAAAATCAGGAATATTAAACAAAGTTCTCCATTGTGCTCATATGACTTGTATCACGTCTGTGCCTGTTTCACTTTCACACCATTGCTGAAGTCGCAACTCAGAGAAACAATCCAGTTCCCCTCGACTATTTTGCAAGTCACGCAGAACTGCATAAATACAGTGTGAACCTTTCTTCCCCACAGTAGGGTAATTTATTCCCTTGATCTTCAGTCAAAGCAGGAGTCTCGTTTAAACTGAGGGACCGCACAAAGCTGAGATTGCACCTCTATTGCATTCTGCCACCACCAAAGCATTTTGAGCATTGAGGCGTTGTAATTCAGCTGCTTTTGTGTGCGATAAGCGGTCGAGGGTCAAATTCGGCCCGCCCTAATTTACTTAAACTGTGTAATACTACCTTGGGAAGAACATTTTTTTTCACGATACATTTGGTTCCATCGTTATGCCTTGAGTACAAAACAGCAGAGTGGGAGGCAGAAAAAAGTCATTAAACTTGGACGAGCAGTGACATTTGATTTGTCAGCGACTGTGCTGCAGAATAATTTACCTGATGAAATTTACCATTAGGGTAGTGCAAAATGTTCAGCACAGAGTGACATGGGTAATAAGCACTTGTGTCAAGCAGGAAAATAATTCCACGTGCTATTCTCTTTGGCAATGAAGCATGGAAATGGTCACCAGAATGGCCAGGAATTGCGAGCTAATGCATGAGGTCACTGACAAAAATGTTCCATGTGATGTTTCATGTGATGACTCACATAGCCTTAGAACCCAAAACATCCTGCACTATGCTCAAGCAATTTATAATGGACACACTCCTACACTGTCACACATTAAGTAGCAGTGACTCAGTGTACAAAGCAAAATGCCAGATATAAATGACAGTGGTTTTAAATGAATACAATGCTAGTGTAGCGCTGCCACTATATATTACTGCTTCTTCAAAACTTCCAAATTCCCCGACACAGATCATGTAAGTTTGTAACTAAGGTCATTTTTTTTCCAGACTTGGCACGCTTCATGAGTTCGGTACATTTGTCGAAGTGTGAAAGCTGTTTTCCAGGAGGCAGTCAAGAGAGAGGACTGATCCCAGGTCCTTTTAAAAATGGTGGTCTGGAGCTCGCTTCAGCTGCTTCAACCATTGTGTGTGGAAACTCTTCATTCTCAGTGTTATGCACCTTGTAACATAACATGATCGATTCAACATGTCATGTTACTTCCTGTTTCAAGTTTCTTGATGGCGGAGAAAGGGTTGTTATGATCAGCGGAGGAGAAGGAACACCTTGCTGATATATAAAACCTCACTTTCATAGGACTAGAGGACTGCAATCAATTTATTATTGTGGTTCAAGTGCTTGCACTGAGAACTTCACGAAAAACGCATGTATCATGTATAGCTAAAAGTTTGCATGTATTCCTGCACAATGGCATGCCATGCATCCAAACATCTGGGCCATGCACACAAAAACCAAAGGAAAATAATAAAAAAAAGCAGCAAATGGATGAACATGGTGTCTACCATTCTGCAAACTTGAATGCATTAAAGTGACCTTTGGAATTGTACAATTGATCCTCTGTTCAGAAGGAATTCTTCAGTGTACAATGTACAAGCCCAGAATCCTGGATGTGAACTCAAGTGTGAAATAGTCCCCTAATAGTCCTACTTCAGACAACTCTTGCATTCTTGTCTGGAATAGTCTGAGGGGTCATTAATCGCTTCACCTAACTCATTCATCTATTCGTCTTTAGTAATCCCTTTATCCTGGTCAGAATCTTAAGCCTTTCCCAAGAGATGCTGAACAGGAATGACAGTACATCGAGAGCAGCATGCACACACATTCACAAATCATAGGGGCAGTTCAAAGTAGCCAATCCACAGAGGTAGGAGGAACCTGGAGAACCCAAAGGAAACCCACATGGACATGGGAAGAACTTGCACAGAAACTCCATCTTAACAGATCAAGTATGAAGTCCTTGTTGATGAGACACAAAATGGACAGACTAATGCATTATGCATGGACTCCCAAAACGCAACTTCACATGGTATAGGAGTTTACCAATTTGGTCACAGTGAGTGGAGAACATCATGAAATACAAACCACAGCTTGTATCGACGCTAGAATACAAGCTCTAAAGCTGGGAAAGTGCTAAATTCTAAACTTTCTGGGGTTTTTTCAAAGCAAGGAAAAGAACCTGTAGGGTATTTAATCATCCTTACCTGACCCTGTCACGTCCCTCTGACTTAAAAAGCTGTTTGTGACCAACAGGTTTTGCCCACAAGGCTGAAATTTTTCCTGCCATAAGCAATAAATAAATAAATAAATAAATAAGAAGAAAGACTCCTTCATGGAGATAAAATGCCAGAAAGAGAGATATACAAAAGGCTATTGTGAAATTTAAGAAATGGAAATGTATCATGCATCATTATGTATCAATAAATCTGCATAGCTACGAAGCAAGACTGTGTTTTGTATACTTAATAGCCATCAGCACAAAAAAAAAAAAAAACCATCCATTTCTGAACAAGAATGGGGATTAATGTGATAGTGGGACTGGTCATTAATTCTGAATCAAAAATGTTCCTTGGCGCATTTGCTCAACACTTCCCATCACACCCAATTAGGAGACATCCAGACAGTGAATATATTAAAGCAACATATACACAAAGCAGTCAATATTTTTCTCTTTGATGTACAAACAAATGTAAAATAGAGCTAAAGACTATGCAGTGTATCTGGCCTACAGGGACAAATGATAAATAAAATCAACTCAATAAACTGACTAGTGTTTGTGGGAGACTGTTAAGAAAAAAGTGTCTTTACTGGTTTTGGTAGACTTCAGAGGTTATGTAGTTACATAGGTTATGTAGCTGCGTAACAGCTATGTAAGCCCTTTGCAAACCCTACATAAACATTTCTAAAGACATATTAATAGTTATAGTATCTTTTGGCTGCTCCGGTTTGGGGTCTCCATAGCGGATCACTGGCCCGCATATTTGATTCGGCACAGTTTTTACACCGGATGCCCTTCCTGAAGCAACCCTACCCAATATTGTCCAGGCTTGGGACTGGCACTGGGAGCTCACTGTCATGTGCGGGGTCGGTTCCCTGGCAGGGAATCGAACCGGGCCATGGAGGTGAGAGCGCCGAGGCCTAACCACCAGTCCGCCAGGGACCCACATAGCAACAGTTACTGGCTATCAATCAATTTGGCATAACCGGAGTCAAGTGACATAGATTTTTGTTGACCTTCTTGTCAGTGGTTGTGTCATGACATTTTCTGGAATGTCATTATAATATCATGACAACTGACACACCAGGCTTAGTCCTGCTAGCACATTTATACCAGTTCCATATCTATGTTTGTGTACATAAATGGAAATCCGGGACCTGATTACTGGTCTTATAGACCATCATTAGCAGTAACTCTCTATCACGGCCGTGCAATTTTTCATCGATTGATTGTTAGCACAATTTAGGCCACCATTAGCACTAATGCATCCACAGAGCTGCAAGGATGCGATGTATGACAGACCTTCATGGTAAGCAGTTAACAATTATCATCATGCTATAAGGGCAGCTTTCATTTGTGTTGATAATTACATCAGTGTGATTAATGCACGTCTCATTGTAAATTCATGGTCTAGACATTAGCAGGAATGTGTCGTGAGAGAGAGAGAGAGAGAGAGAGAGTGAGAGAGAGTGAGAGAGAGAGAGAGAGAGAGAGAAGGCATGGAAGTCTCCCAGGGACAGCAGAAGAGTAACTGGAGAGAGAATGAGTGATGGGAGTGCCTGGCTTCATGTGTGTGTGAGAAATAAAAAAAGACAGACAGACCATTAGGGACAAGGGACAAGCAAGCATGTTGCATCACTACGACTGATCCCCAAGCGTGACAAACACAAGGCTGTATTTGTGACTTGCTGTCCCATTAGACTTGATATTCTCTGCCATTTATTCGGATCTGCATCCGTTCGACCTCATCAGCAAAGACGGGTGTCAAGCAATGACCGCCGTCTCTTAACTAAGATTAATTGCAGCTAATCTGTGATGGCTGGTGGAACAGTGAACAAGGAAGGCTGCAGATCCCATTATGCAGCTGCTAGCAGGGAAAATTAGCTCGCTCTGCCCTCTGATGCCGGGAAGAGACGTGAGCACTCGATGCGTTGTTCGCTTCCAGCTGCACATAGATCTGTCAAAAGGAGAAGAGGAGGATGTGTGTGTGTGTGTGTCTGAGAGACAGACAGAGAGAGAGAGAGAGAGAGAGAGAGAGAGAGAGAGCATATACAATGCCAGCCCTTTAGCTTTTACCCAATTTCCGTCCTTCTTCCATCTGGCAAAGGGAGGAGGGGGATTACTCTACCAGAAGGTGCCCGGTGCATATCTGCAAATGGTGGACAATTTCATATTTCACACTTAATCTGTACAGAGCACCTCTGGTGAATCTCTAATGACCTGTAGGACTTCGAGTGCAGCAGAGAGAAATTTCAATAGGACTTAAGGTAGTACAGCATCAGAATAACAAGCACACACACACACGAGGTGAGGGCGATTCTGCCTCAGACCCAAAAGTGAATTTGTATTCGCTCTTTCATGTTTGTGAGTCTTGCAATTTAAAGCGTCAGCATGCACATTTTAAACACGTTACTTAAGATGTATTAATCATAGAATTTCAAATATACTTAAAAACAGTAAGATTTGCAAGAATGCCATACAATGGATTTGGAACATTTTCAGGGTTTTTTTTTTTTCTGGCCCAGAAATTAGCTCCACCCCTAGTTGTAACAAATCCAAGAAACTCTGGGCAACTCACAAAGCATACATAATTTCAACAGAAGGGGTGGAGTCAGCTTGAGGAGAGGGCAAGCTTGTTGTGTTTTCTTTGCAATAGAAATTTGCCATTGATTTACATTGTTATTTTTTGGACTGGACTTGGAGTGACCATGCACTGGTCCTAGCACATCAAGGCTTCTTTTCAAACAATTTTTCTGTCCATTTTGCCTTGTCTCGGACTGTTGTCTTGTTGCAGAGAACACCCACATTTCAGTTTTTAATTGTTGTGATTCTATAAGTTTTAAAATAAAACTACACTTTCCTTGTCTTCATTTTAAAAAAAAAAACATTGGGGGTGTAAACTTTGGCACTGTATATAATTGCATAAAATTTTGTTCTTGATTTGTGTAGATTCTTCTGTTATATACTGCTTTGATATTTCTCGAAAATTCCCTTCTGCCTTACTCTGCAACAGGAGACCATTCTATGCACGTTCTATTTTCTATGTACGTGAGCGACACGGAGGCGTGATTTCAGAGACACTGGTAAGCAACAAAGCAACAGACACATGCTGAGGCAGCATGTGAGTTGAGAATTTTTCAATACGGTGCGGTACAGCAACAAATCCAAGCGATACGCTCAGTTGATTCCGCAGACCAATCACATGGCACATTGATGGCATAATGTCATCTCCTCACTCTCAGCTTATTTCCGACCTGCAGTTAGTTCCAAAAAATGAAGAAAAAAAACTTCCTCATATAAAGTATGACAGAATAAGATAACCTCTCATTAAATGTGTATAGAGACACTATGAAGAAAAAGCTTGGAAGGAAGTAGTAGGGCTCATTGGTGCCTCTGGTGAATTTAGATTGTTGGTGCAATTAGTTTGCACTGATAATCTGCTAATGTAGCTAGTACCAAACCTAGCATGGACCATTTCTCATAAAAAATGCTGGACACACTGTACACACCCACAAGCAGCAACAATATCGCTCGTAGAGGTAGCTAGCAGTGCTGTGACACTAGATGTAATCTAGTGTTATCTTGTATTTCTGTATATTTACAGGTATGTGTGTTTGTGGGAAGTGTCGTTGTTTTGTCTCTATGTCATAGGACTGTCTCATCGTTTCAATCCAATCCAAACTTCAGATTGTCACATTATTCCGTGACTTTTTGTGCTTCTACTCAAGTTTTATAACAGCTAGAGAGTGCAAACAAAGCCCGTGTTTCACCTCTTTTTTACTTCTTTCATGTCCTGGACCAGATTATAACAGTGCTAGATGTTGGACACATAAATAGCTGGATGGAAAGTATTTATGTCTGAATGTAGAGCCTGTAGTGGTAATTTCAGGCTAGGACAAGCATTTTTTTTGTGCAAAGTCATCTTTTTTTTGTCTCAGTTGTCTTATTTAGTTGTTGTTTACTTGGTTTATTTGCAGCTTGGCTTTGGCCAGTGCATAAATTTTAATGGGAGAAAGAAAAAAAACCTGCCTTTGCACTTGACCTTGTGTCCTGTGCTTGCTCCTAAGTCCCTTTCTTTCAACTCTCACACTTTAATGCATTCAGCTCGCTGCTACAGTCAGTGTGTGTGTGTAAATAAAAGATAGAGTAAAAAATATAATGCCAATGCGTGCCGAGGTTCACACTGAAAAGCACGGCTGAAAATCTGACTCAGTTATATAGAAAAAGACACAAAACTTAATCATAAACTTATTTCTCACTATATGTCTTCAAGACAAGGTACAGCATTCCAGATTGGATCAGAGCACTTTTTTTTTCGTTTTTAAAAAGATTTGACTGGATAGCAAATGTATTTTTTTTTTTACTGTAATAAAAGTCTCACACACCCAAGCAATTGATGATTATTGTGGATTTGTGAGACCACTTCTAGCATTCCCTTGAGAGGGACTGGTAGGTTTTGCAAGTACGTCCACAGATGTGGCTGTTTGACTGACATGACAGACAACCTGCAGACGTTTTCCTGAAACCCACTGGCAAACATGAGAGATGATCTCATTTGCTCACCACAAAATTCTTGAATAACTTTGAAAGACAGCATTTCAGGAACCGTTTTTTTTTTCAATCCAGTAGCAATGTCTTCCCCCAAGAAGTGTCACAGTGTTCCAAAATCTGTTTTCCCACTGGAAAGCGGTGCATGTACAGTATGTGTAGGTATTTCAATCTCAACGATCCTGAAGGTTGTTGTCAGAAAAGTGCACAAAAGACACCAGATGCTCCAGTGCCCACTGCATTACATCTGCCTAAAAATAAGTTGTGAATTGCTTTTAGTAGTAGGGGTGGCCTGTGTGGCTTCACGTGAAACTTTTTACAAATAACATTTTTATGTTCAGTAATGTCCATTTCACTATGACACAGAGTTACACAACACCTTGACCAAAGCTTGACATTCACTGCATGAGGTAATCACACTTAAGTAGTGAGGTTTTAGACATCTTTAGGCAGACCGACTGCTTTTACCACTGCAGTTATTAAACTGGCTCCTTACCCAACATGATCTTTCCAGGAATGCGTGGTTAAAGTAAATTAAGTAAATAAAATCATTTCCACCATCAATTTGGTGAAATACTCTACATGGCTAAACATATGTGGACACCTGACCGTCACACCTATATGTGCTTGTTGAACGTCCTATTCCAGATTTATTCCCCCTTTGCTGTTATAATAACCCCTACTCTTCTGCGAAGGCTTTCCACTAGATTTTGGAGTGTGGCTCTGGGTATTTGCTCATTCAGGCACAAAAGCATTAGTGAGGTCAGGCACTAATGTTGGGCAAAGAGGTCTAGGGTGCAGTCGGTGTTCCAGTTCATCCCGAAGGTGTTCAGTGGGGTTGAGGTCAGGGCTGTGTGCAGGACACTCCAACCTTGGCAAACCATGTCTTCATGGAGCTCAGCTTGTGCACAGGGGCATCGTCATGCTGGGACAAGTTTGGGCCTTTTAGTTCCAGTGAAGGGAACTTGTAATGCTACAGCATAGAAAAGCATTCTACACAATTGTGTGCTTCCACCTTTGTGGCAACAGGTTGGGGAAGAACCACATATGGGTGTGACGGTCAGGTGTCCACAAACGTTTGGCCTGATAGTGTATATTTCTCAAAATGAAGCCTGTAAGACCCAAGACATTCTAGAATTTAGCCACAGTGACATCCAGTAGATTTTCCCAGACTGTGCCAGACATTTACAAAATGTAGATCAGTGAGAAGCAGTTAAAGATAAAGCTACAGTCTCTTACTCTTACATCTTGACTGAAACTATTATTAGTGTCCTACAGAATACCCAAGAGGGCTCATCATAAGGCTTAATTAATGCCAGACCATACTGCATACAGTCTAATATGTTGATAAAGGCATTTAGCTTCCCACACTGTTAAGAGCTGGCTCAGTCTTC